GGCCATATAGCCTGAAAAAACCTACAACAACCTAGTGATTCCGGCCATGAAAGCCTTCGACAATACATTGAACCTACTGATGCCTCAATTAATGTAATGTTATGGATATCTAGCTGTTGCCTTTCCCACCCTCGGCTTATACTCGAGTCAATAAGTTTCCCCAGTTTTTTGGTGGTAAAATGAGGTGCCTTGGCTTATATTTGGATCGGCTTATGCTCGAGTATATACGGTACCTTCTTTCTGTTCTGTCTTTGTCCTGTCTTTCCAAAATGGCATTGGATATTTGATGTGTATGTGTACTGTCATCCACCCTGAGTCCCATTGGGGAAATAGGGCGGAATATAAATAAAGTGTTGTTGCTGTTGTTCTTGTTGTTGTTGTTGTTGTTGTTAAATCAATGAGTCTCAACCAACTCAACCAACTTTGTGGCAGCCACAAAAACAAAGGATCTGGAGTAGAACAACTACTTTCAAAGTAAGGACCACAAAACGAAACAGGAAATAACATTGTATTGTCGAAGGCTTGCATGACCAGAATCACTGGGTTGTTGTAGGTCTTTTGGGCTGTATGGCCATGTTCTAGAAGCATTCTTTTCTGACTTTTCGCCTGCATCTCTGGCAAGCACCCTCAGAGTTTGTGAAGTTTGAGGTTCACAACCTCTGAGGATGCTTGCCACAGATGCAGGTGAAACGTCAGGAGAGAATGCTTCTAGAACATGGCCATACAGCCCGAAAAACCTACAACAACCCAAGAAATAACACTTGAAAACCAGGATTTTGTTCCATAGTGTACTGGGATTTTTTGGGGGGGGAGGGGGTCTCCCGTATGACTTAAGACATCAACACGGTCTTTGTGGGGGATGCATTGCTTATGGGTTCCTCTCCCACCTTGAAATACTCCACCAGGCCTCGGCAGGTGATCCTGTTCCCGTTGATCTCCTTGACGTCCAGGCTTTGCGGGCTGAGCAGCCACGGGATCAGCACCTTCAGGTTCTTGATGAAGTCGTCATCGATTTCTGCCAAGGGAAGAAGGAGGGGAGCTTTATAGAATCACAGAATCCTAGAGTTGGAAGAGACCTCCTGGGCCATCCAGTCCAACCCCTTTCTGCCAAGAAGCAGGAAAACTGCATTCAAAGCGCCCCTGACAGATGGCCATCCAGCCTCTGTTTAAAAGCTTCCAAAGAAGG